ACTTCTCTAAGCTCCTGAGGGTGGAGCTTAAGTCTTCTGTTCAGTGTAGACTTGATTCCATAAGGCTCTAAGTGGCTATTATCCATGCGGATAAAGACCCGGAGATCATCCTGCTTCTTCTTCAGTTGGTTGGCAGTGATAAGGGCGCCAGGCTGTGTTTTCTTTATGGTAGTGTTGACTGTCCATGGATGCTGTCGTTGGCCAGAGGAGACAGCTTGGGCGAAGGTCATGGTGGGCTTCCCTATCCCTATCCCGCCAGGAGTGGTCTTTCTTTTGGGCAGATCTCGGGTTTCCAGCCACTCGTTCAGGCATTTGGAGAAGAAAGCGCTGAACTCCTTGGCATGAGAGTATAGTTCGGTTCCAGCTTTTTCCAGTGTCTTATCGACTGCTGCAGCACACTCTTGAAACATTGTCATCCTGGCTTCATAGAGATGCTTGTCTTTAGCCAGTATTTTGGCTACTTGGTCCTGGCACTTTGAGGAAGAGACCTTGTTCCCTGTATCGCCTCCAATGGCTTGGTCTGTAGAGATTTCGTTTGATTGAGGTACTTCCATATCAATGATGCTGCTAGTATTAATATTTCGGGATTTTCCTTTCAGAGGGGAAACAATGGTGAAGTCAGCCTCAGAGACCTGTGACGGGCTGCTGTTGATGTCGTCGAGCAGTGCCTGGCGGAGCTTGCTTGGGGTTGCCGGGCCATATGTTCTTTTAGGGACCGGGGATTTGAGCACGCCGCCAGTAGTCGTCTTTGGGACGGCCACTGGCGTATTTGGGGGCCTATCGTGAAGGGGTGCCATCCAGCTTGTGAGAAAAATTTTCTGCGCCTTGGCAAGGATAGTCAGGTACTGAAATAAATGCCTGTTTTAGTGCAGATATAGAGGTTGCGCCCTAACAGCGGGGCGCCAAGAAAAATAGTTGTTTTTGGTAAGAGTGTGTGCCCACAGGGTTCGGATGGCCATTGCTGGCAGCATTTGACCATTCGCTTTTAAACCATGGTTCACCCAAATCTACCATAACGCGGAAGCAACATGACATGGCCTATAGATTGTCCAGCTATCTGTAAAGCCACCCATTCCACCAAATGGTTGTTGCCTCCGCGCTAGGATAGAATCGGATGCCTGGACCATAGCCCGCGCATGGGGGAGTTGAGGCTACCGGGAGAGGACGTACGGCACTCCGTCTTGGCCAGTCGTAATGAACATTGCCACTTCAAAAGCTGTGCGCGGATGCTCCGCGCCACGCAGAGGTGAGCCACTGTGGAGGACAGAAAGGGGAACGCCGAAAAGCTTGGTGAGGAGGAGGGCGAGACAACCGATGCACTAGTGGTATCCGCTACGACGCACGGTTTAGACGAAAACAAGCCGCGTTTACTGTTAATCTCAGCTCTCCTTTGCCGCTTGCACGAGTGGGAAGTATAGGGCTCCTTCGCCAAGCTGCTCGGTTGCTTGGGGCACACCTTCGCAGTTATCCCTATGTCTGTCAGAACATACATACTGCATTTGTAACTGGCACAAGACACCTACCGTATTTACACTCTCGGGAGGGAATGAAGAAAGCAATACATCGTATGACAAACCCAAGGGGTGCCTTTTCTGCCAGGCTTCATTGTTTTGACGTCGCATAGTCTCTTGGATAGATTTAGCTTCGTCAGTGGTAGATCCGGTATCAACGTGGAGAGCCTTCTTGCCCTTGTTGGTAAACGACGTTGCCAAAGCGCAGGGCATACTTAAAGAAAAACTCGTCATCGGGAATCGGGTGAGGACCACAAACGTCGGATGTTATTGACCAGCCTCTGGTTCATGGTACTCATGCTCTCCTGTGGAGTGGAGACGGCAGGGACAGCACCCGGGATGGCGGGCTCCCGTCGAAGCAGTGCATCATGGTCACGATTAAACGGCATCGAGATTTCGTAGAAACCCCTAGGCTGCTGAACAGAACCACCAGCAATGATTTGGACATTCAAGAAGCCCGCTGAGACGGCCGACCTATGGATTGAGGCGGCTGAGAATGCTTGGTCATGAGCGTCTATGAGTCCACAAATGGGAACACGACGGAGACGCATGCACATGCCGCTGCTTCTCCACAACTGGGGTTCTTCTGTCCTGTCCTGCCCAACAATTTCCACAAGGTAGTGCTAAAACAAGTCGCCAGCATTGCCTCGGTAGCCGACACGACCAGGCTAGACGATCAGGTACACGGTCAAGGTCAAGGTCAAGGTCAAGGTCAAGGTCAAGAAGCGCCTCTATCCACTCCATCCACTTAGCCCAAAAACTAAATCTGGATCTCGTGCTCCTGAAAACGAATGGTCACCAATGACAGTACCCCCTGTATGAAACCGTTAGATCCAAGGAGGAGGCTAAGGATGGTTGGTTATCACTGGCCGGTGGCAGCACCCCATTTCGTCCTATATGCCCCTGGGCGACATGCACATCTGCTAGTGCTTGACAAAGTTGAGCAATGCGAATTGGAGGCTAACCTTACTGGCTATCATAATCGAGGAACAAGGATATCACTTCTAGGATGTTGTATTAGTTCCAGCAATGAAAGCACCCCTACCTGGTCTGACGGGCCACCTTTGATACCAAAGAATGGTGGCCATGACAGTGCATATAGTACTTACTCCTGGGTGGTTGGATACTCAAGTGGGTATCATCGGGATGACTCGTAGGCAGACCGCCAGCTAGAGATACCTATGGAGGCAGACGTCGAAGATGATTCGCGTTATCAAGTACCATGCCCCACCCCCTAACGGGACACACCCCCCACCGGGACAGCCAAACCCCACCATCACCACCAAAATACCCCCTTACTCACTTACACGCAATTGAGGCTGTAGATGCCCAAAGAAATCAACAAAATTATCATTCTGTGGTGTTGAGGCTCCTCAATCCACGTATCTAGCTGGCGCCCTAATTGACCGACCGCTTCTCGTCACCTGGGGCTCTGCAACAGGGGCTTCTTCACCCTCCTCAGCCTCCTCAGCCTCTTCCTCCTCCTCACCCTCATCTTTAACAACCTCTGGCTCTATTTCTGACTCTGAAGACTCTATAACCACCGCCCTTAACGGGTCACCCCCCTGGGCCAATATCTCGGTCATATTCATGAACTTCCGGTTCGGATTTGGGACCTTCTTCCTTTTCTTGGGCCATAGCCGCTCTAGTTCAGTCTCCAGGGCCTTGATCTTATGATCTTTTAGGGCCAGCTCCGTCTCCTGGTTCTCGAAGGCGTGGGAGATCTTCCTGAATTTCAGCCGAGTGGCTGGGGAGCGATTCTTTGCGAAATCTATGATCTGTCGGCTTGTGGTAGGGGTCTGCTGGTCTTCTGGCTCCGAGTCTTCAACTTCCTCTGGCTCCGGGGTCTTTCTTTTATCCTCCTGGATTTCCGGGTGTTTCAAACACTTCCTGCAGCTAACTGGGTAGCACCCCGTCACTCGGAAGCCCGAGAGGATGTTCGGCTTAGAAAAAGCCTTGTCCCTAGCCTGAGAATAACAGTGGATGAAGTTGATCTTATCCACAGGTAAGGCATCTGTGAGAGAATTTAACTGCGAGAGAAATCTCTGGTAGTAGGCTTTGAGCGCGTTATATGGTCCGTTATCTAGTGGTTGCATGCCGTGGCTGGTATGGGCTGGGAAAAAATAAAGCAAGATGTTGGCAAAATAACACCGCAACATGAACTCGTCCTGTTAGTTATACAGTTAATTAACTGATTAAACAACCCCTGAAAAATAAATAACGTACGGAAGTATGGCTACCATGGCCATCTAGTATCAAAAGGATCGGCTCTGCCTGGTCTTCCCCTCGTACAGCATCCACCTGGGGTAGGAAAACGTGGTCTAACCATAGGCACGCAATCTCGTTACTGGTCCAGCCGTTATCTGACGTTATGTAGTACCAACCCGCGATTTTGCGGAATTCTTCGATGAACCATTGGGCCTGGAGATCTTTTCCTTTGAAAATTATGCCTGGTTTGAGAACTTTTCCCGTGGCTGAGATGGCTTCGATAAAGGAGGTCCAGCCACGCCCCTGGGGACTCTTTAAGAAGGCTTTTGTAGTCTCAGAACTTCCTAAGACTAGGGAATCAATGCTTATAGGGGTTAGCTAGTTAACTGACAGGATAAAGGTGAATAAGGGGTTAAAAGACTAACCAAAACCCGACATGATGCCGCCCTTATCGACATTGTACGTATTTTCTGGCTTCACCCATTGATAATCCCCCAATATGTCAAAGAACCAGTTGACAGACTTAGGGGTGAACCCCTTAAACCGAGCGGATTCCATCCGTTTACTGATTTTAGTCTGGATGGTAGGGTTATGGCGTTTATAGCCCTCCATATAATTCGGGCCCAGTGGTGCGAAATCTCCCCCCTTTTTCAGCAGTTGTACAATAATCTCCCGCACGGCTATATGAGAAGGGGCAAGCCCTAGGGACTCCTGGCGCAATATCCATTGAGCCACCTTACTCTCTTGTTGAGGGGAGAGTCTCTGCTTGCTAACCTGGGCCTCGGCTCGGGTGACTCTGCCGTTGATGCGTGCTGACAGCGTTTGCTTAGGGATGCCGTGTTTTTGGGCGGCTTTTCTCACAGACATGCCGTTATCTGTCACATCTAGCCAGGCATCTGCCACATTATCTTCAGTGTACGTGGGTGGAGGCATCGTGGCTGGCTTCACGATGCTGTGGTGGCATAAGGGTCAGGGGCTCAGAGAGAGAATTCTACAACAAATTTGTATTTAGGGGCGGGGCACAGAGGCTCCTAATTACCGATGCCGATGGTTGAAACTTCACTAATCTACATCCGGCTAAACACCAAGAAAAGGGCTATCTAACCATCTAAAGAGCGTATAGATAGCCTCAAAGGGGGCTGTAATCCGTGTAAGTGAGGTAGGGGACTTTTGGTGGTGGTTGTGGGGTTTGGCTGTCCCGGTGGGGGGTGTGTCCCGTTAGGGGGTGGGGGATGGTAAGTCTTTACTTCTCAGGGGTAATCGGACTACTGCAGTGCGACCATGTACGCGAGCTTGTGCTACACAGGCTTCAAGTCTGCCCCGCAGTCGGTAAGGGTACCTAATTGCTGACCTTGGCTTGCCACAGTGATCCTGGAGAAGGGCATCATTCCACCCAACGCCCTTTTCGAGAAGATCAACGCTGATATCGATGTTGACTTTTATCACACTGCGGTAAGCGACACCCTTTGATGCGAGTCAGAAAGCCTGCTAACTCGTGAAGATCCCGACCGAGAACATCGCCTGGCCTACTAAGGGATTGCGCCGGGTATCGGTGAACTCCTTCGGGTTCGGAGGATCCAATACGCACGTCGTTCTTGATAATGCGTATCACTACCTGCGTGATCGAGAACTCATAGGGAACAACTGCACCGTCCCCGGTGCTACTGTGCAGACCCCGACCATCGCAGATGAGGTCGGTCACACCAGCGGGACGGTCAGCCACATCAAGGCAAACGGCATCAATGGTATGAACGGTGCCAGTAAGGCCAACGGGACCAACGGACATCATATCGGCACTAACGGTACTAATGGAAACTTGAACGGCACCAGCGAAGCCAACGGGGCCTGCGGATACAACAGCACCAATGGTACCAATGGTACCCCCAACACCAACGGAGCAGTTAATGGAAGCCATCATTCCAATACCCAAGCCAGTCTGCTTGTCTTCAGCGCCGCCAACGAGAAGGGGCTCGAGCGTACGATCGAGGGGTACGTCACCTTCTACAAGACCCAGGTTGCGGGCCACTCAGACAAGCTGTCGCAACTGGCTTATACCCTCGCCGCGCGACGGAGCTCTATACTCTGGCGGACTTTTGCTGTTGCAACTGGTGAACAGCAGGTTCTTGCACTTGGAGCTGCTGCTATGAAGCCAGTACGCACCTCGGCAGAAGCTGAAGGTTGGCCTTCGTCTTCACTGGTCAAGGTGCCCAATACGCCGATATGGGTATTGAGCTTCTGGAGTACCCTATCTTCAAGTCTGCGCTCGAGCAGATCGATGGTACCTACAGCAGCTTGGGGTGTGAATGGTCGATCTTTGGTAAGGAGCCCTAGCCAAGAGAGCTGAACACTACTAACGAGCGACCAGATGAGCTCAGCAACACCACGAACATCGACAAGCCCGAGTATAGCCAGCCACTATCAGCGGCTCTTCAGATCGCCTTGGTCGAGCTACTGAAGAGCTTCGGTGTCGTTCCAAAGGCTGTGATCCGACATTCGTCTGGCGAGATCGCTGCAGCGTGAGTAAAGGCATACCAGTGACTCAACCCTGACTCCATATACTGACTCGTCGTCAATAGGTATGCGATCGGAGCTTTATCACTACATTCAGCATGCAAAGTCTCGTTCTTCCGCGGGCAATTGGCGGGCGGGCTGAAGGCCAAAGCCTCGACGACAGGCGCTATAATGTCTGTCAATCTCCCTCAAGAGCACGTAGTTTCCTACCTAGAGGCCATGGATGTTGTAGGCCTCACTGAGTCCATCAACATAGCATGCATCAACAGTCCACTGAACTGCACGCTTTCCGGCACAGAGTGGGCCATTGATACTGTGAGGGAACAGCTTGACAAGGACGGCATTTTCGTACAGAAGCTGAAGACAGGAGTCGCATACCATTCCCCTTTCATGTCCATCATTGCCGACGAGTACAGGTCGCAATTGGGGACGCTTGAGGCCAGCAAGTCCCAGCGCGTTGGCCCATCGGTCCCTATGGTGTCATCGGTAACGGGCCGAGCCGTTCGGTCATCCCTGCTTACGACGGCCCAATATTGGGTCGACAACATGGTGTCCCCTGTCCGGTTCACCGATGCGGTGCAGATCCTGACGCAGGATTCTGCAACCCTCAAAGTCGGTCTTGGGAGCATCACAGACCTCGTCGAGATTGGTCCGCACTGTGTGCTACGCCGCCCAATCCAGGACACGATTGGCCAGGCCGGGAATCGGAAGAAGCAGGTTCGCTACGCCTCGGTGCTCTATCGGTCCAAGTCGGCGATCCAGAGCACCCTGGAGTTGCTGGGACATCTGTTCTGCGACGGCCACACCGTGTCCATCGCCGAGGCCAACCACCAGTCGCCCAGCCAGAAGCCAGCCTTCCTCGTCGACTGTCCCGAGTATCCTTTTGACCACTCTCACGTCTACTGGGCGGAGTCCCGGCTGAATCGCGACTTCAGATTGCGCGAGCCCGTTTCGGGGGACACGCTGGGGTCACGATTCTATGACTGGAACCCTTTAAAGCCGACGTGGAGGAACTTATGGAGCGTGGAGACTACGCCGTGGTTGGGAGACCATGTTGTAAGTTCCCGGTATACGTGTTCCACGATATCGCGTGATTCTAACCTTCGCGCAGGTCAGCGACACCATCATCTACCCAGCAGCGGGAATACTCGTGATGGCGATGAAAGCGGTACAACAGATGGCCGATGCCAACCGGGTGGTATCGGGCTACTACATCAAAAAAGCCCAACCCCTGATCCCGATAGTCGTGAAGGAGGCTTGGGACAATAGAACCAAGACGATGCTACATCTCTAACCGGTTTAGAAGCACTACGAGAAGGAGTCGCTCTGGTCGGACATCAAGATCTTCGCCCGCTACGATGATCGATGGACCGAGTGTTTCCGAGCCAGTGTCCGGATTCAGTACGTAGAATCTGACGCGCACGTTGATGGCGGTTTGGAGAGACGGTTGACGAATGAGCGTATCGCAAGTCAGTACAAGCGTGCGACCGAAGCCTGTACAGAGCCCATTGACTCGAAAATGTTCTACCAGGACATAGCGGGTCATGGAATCAGGTACGGAGACTGGTTTCAGCTTCTGGAAAACATCCGTTATGACGGTGACGGTGATGCCAAGGTTGTGGCCCGCGTGGACGTGTCGACAGCTAAACATCAAACGAACAGTCTCGTTCATCCGGCTATCCTAGATGCGGCTTTCCATGCCCTTCGAGTCAGCGCTACCAAAGGTCTGTCCACGTCGTCGGCTACACGTGTGCCTATGCGACTACTCGATTCCTGGTTCTCAGCCTCTGGATGGCAACAACCACACACATCGTCGATTCGATACATGACGATTACTAGTGGTGGAGCTGAAGGAGAGAGCAAGGAGGGAACCATTTACGCCTTGGATGACAACTTGTCGCCACTGTGTACAATGCGCAGGTTGATCACTGCACAGGTGTCGAGGCAGGATGAAATCAACCGTGTCGCGAAGAAGTTGTTGTATGGAGTCGAGTGGAAACCTTAACTGAGCCTCCTCACCCGGGAGCAGCTCAAGCCGATCCTCGTGCGCGAGATCGACCCCTCTCCGTAATCTTCGACTCCAGTCTAGCTGAGACATTCTACACCGATATGTTCTTGAGCATTTGTGATCATCGCCTTCAGAAGATCCTCGATCTAGCCTCTCACGAAAACCCTAAGCTGCGCATACTTGAAGTAGGAGCAGGGACGGGTGGCATGACGTCGCATGTGTTATCTGCTCTGCAGCAGCTCGAGGCCCAAAGCGGTGGCTTGAAGTTTTCGAACTACACGTACACCGATATCTCACCCACGTTCTTTGAGAGCGCTGCCAACAAGTGGCAGAATCTGAAGGAGAGGGTCACGTTCAAGACGTTCAACCTGGAACGCAGCGCTGAGGACCAGGGGCTCGAACTGTGTTCCTATGACCTGGTTGTCGCCGGGAGTGTGCTGCATGCCACCACCGATCTGGCGGCCACGATCCGGAACGTACGTAAGACGTTGAAGCCTGGCGGACACCTCATACTCCTCGAAGCCATAGCTCCGGAGAAAGTCATCACCAACTTCGTGTTTGGCCTAGCCGGGGTGGTGGAACTGTATGGAGGACTGGAGAGCCCTATCGCCGGCTATTGTCGAGGAGCAATGGGATGGCTTTTCTGGTAAGGATCTGTGCCTCCGCGATTACGAGAAAATTCATGCCATATCTTCAGCATCATCATGACCACAGCTGAGGCAGAAGCGCCGCCACTGATTGAGTCTGCTGAACCGACGCTTTTCCTGATCGTCGAGGACCAGTCGGAACCGCAGCTCAAGCTGGCGGAAGCTCTCCATTGCGTTCTCAATAGCGTTTCTGATCCCAAGGCACGCCCGCCCAGGCCATGTCCACCGCCAGCCTGCTCTCAGATCTCAGCCATGCCACACCCGGCACACTAGCAATCTCGGACCCGGAGTCTGAGAGGGATGGTGTGATGGGGTTACACAGCGATTCCGATCATCACCCAGAGATCATCAAGGGGAAGATGTCGTACGGCACTTCGCGTTTCTGGTTCTTGATACAGTACCTCGAGGACCCCACCACCTTCAACCTGATGTGCCGTCTAAATTTATCCCAGGACTGTGGGCATCGTATTCCTAAGCTCACCATTCAGAAGCGTGGGTAGACATCCTTCGGCGAACCTGTGGCCGCCGTGGTTCGGATCGAGACCAGTGCCCCGAAAGAGTATGTCGAGGGGTTGGCATCGTGTACTGAGGCCCTGGAGCAACCGCGCGATGAGTTCATTAAGGTGTCCAGAGATATACAGGTCGTGTGCGTGCGGGGGCTGATCCCTACGCCGAACGCCGAACGGAGTGGTGAGTCGTCTTTCTTTACATGTCTCATCTTGGGTAGATCTGGCATACGAAGGATTGAACGTCACTGTTGACGACATCGTGACGGACCACTTGAAGGTGGCTCGATTTGCCATGGGCAAGATCCGGGGCACTTTCGGCTGGTCGGACATATCAGTAAACTCTCGAGACGAGCCAAACTACAAGGTAAGTAATGTCGATCACATTAATCGCTCTGCTCATCACCCAGTAAACCAATTTTCCAACCGTCGAGACGTAGTCGAACACTTCTTCGCGCGATGCCTCACCCGATCTCTTGATCGCGACCTTCAGGCTTCCAAAGGGGCTTGGACTCGTCTATCCCGCTCTGCTTCAGAGCCTTCTGGATATACTGTTGCTGATCCAAGCGCACGTCGCCCGTAGGGATGGTTCGCAGCACTCGAACGCCGGGAAACCAGTCGGCATCTCCGAGACCAGTCATGGGCACATCCTTCTCGAAGTCCGTTGCATGGGTCTAGCCTGAATCCTCGCGCACAGATTCGGGCCTTCAGCTTGTCAAACTCGCCAGTAGACAGCTTTTTCTTCTTCAGCACCCATTTTCCGTCAATGTAGTGCTTTCGGGGGATTTCGCTCTCTGAAAGAAACTTGAAGGTGCCCTTCTCCAGGTTCTGGCGAATCTCATCGAATATCGCAACCTCCCAGAGGTCTGATTTGGGATCAGTGACTGCCTCCTTGAGAGACGGCTCGTCTGCGTTTAACGCCCTCATCAGTTCATGCGAGAAGGAGAACTTCAGCAGTGCCTCCGCGTAGTTGATATGCGATTTGGTACGTGCTTTTTGCAAGCAATTCGCACTCAACATCAAGTACCTCTCTGCGCATCTAGGACTGAAAGGCTTCGAAATTGTCGCCCTCCTACAAGTTGTCTTCGTCACTGTCACTCTCACCCTCTGCGGAGACAATTTTCAGTGCGTTGAGGACGACTGGGTGCTCTTCCGGAGCCTCGCAAGAGTAGTGTTTTGGTATCTTGCGCTTGGAGCGCGCTCTTCTCGGAGGTCGGGAAGCTCCGCGGTTGGCCAGCAGAAAGCGAGGCGCTTCATCCCATGCAGCTGTACTGCCGGAGCTGCTGCAGCCTGTATGCGCGTGGGATAGGACGCTGCCATCACATTTAGAAGGCTACTTAGTGGTGCTTATGAAGTACTCCTATAATGCAACAATAATGTCTTTTATGGACAAACCCCACCCCAATCTGATCGTCTCCATGCCTCACGTGGCCGATTGGTAGATAGGTGCGAAATAGAACCAACTGCTTGATGGACGAGCACACTCGCCTTGCCTGTTGACGCTTTCCCCTGCTCCGCCCCCATGCACACCACCCTCCTTACCAGGGCCGAAACACAGATACAGAACGTAAGACTCTCGCCCACCTATGGTCCTGTTCCTCGCGCCGATCACCCTGCCCGTCAATATCAGGTGATGATGCTGCTTTCTCCATGCGCCGACAGCCAACGACAGACCAGATCTAGCCAGACGGATCCCAGCCCTGTGTGTAATGGTAATGGAGGCGCAGTCACCATCAAGTTCCGGTCCCTTTCGAAGGAAACCCCATAGTGTGTACCCACAACGCATTCTCGCAATGGCTGCAGCTAGAATCGCCTATGAGTATGCACAGGTTGTCCCATGTGATGACCATAGTCTCAGCCCTGCAGCTGGAGGAATACCACGATGCGGATAGCAAGGTCCACACAGGTACCACGTTCTGTGTTTAGATGGCGAGCAGATATCTCTGCCTTCGTCCTGTCAGTCCCTTCAAAGATTCGATCTATGTCCTCGAATTCGCCAATGTCTCTGACCGGGCGGGGCCCGGCTGTTGTGCCCAGTCCAGCTTTGAAATCCCCTACGCTCTCGATCACGACAGGGTCAGTCCCATTCGATGGTGCCGGAGCCGCCTTGTCATCATTCGTGGTGTCTGCCTCTTTGGTCTCGGAGCTGGTCCCTCGTGCAATCAGCTGCACGATTAGCTTGGACCGTGTGGGTGACGTAGGATGGATGCGGGTTGAGTAGAATTCGACCATTTCTGCCTTGGTGAGTTGCTTGAGCTGAGCTGCGTCCTGTTGGGCTGTGCACAGAGTCAGTACAGACATAATGGATGAAACGGTCGGAGAAATCACCGTACCTGTTTCAAAGTCGTAGTACTCGCTAGATACCTGCGACCAATGCCTCCCAGTCTCCTAATCCAGATTCTTCAGCTTTTCTAGACGCTTGACTATTATGCTTCTCTTGTGGCTCTCCTAGATTCAACGATCTAGGAGGTCTTGTACAATGGACTCTTCAGCATCAGTAAATTCGTAATCAGATCCAAGATTTTCTGTTAAAGTCTCTGAAGACAGATTTAGTGACAACAGAGGCATTCCCAGCTCAATGACGGGCGAAAGAGGATCTGATATGTTGGAAGCACCAGAAGGTTGAACGGTCTCCTCGGGGCCAGCTCTAGGTTATATAACAAAAGCGCGTTCCACCTGTACCAGGGGTTGCCGGTAGTAATTCGATACTTGCTGTTTTTCCTATGGAAAGTGTGTCCGTTGTGACAGATGCGGTTCTCTGCGCTGGGAATACCTTTTGTGCAATTGGATGCATGGTTGCGCGACGCAGTGGACCACATATGTGCTTGGTTTTATTTACGACAAAGTCGTAGGTTCGTACATGTTTTCTGACCCAATTCATACCGCATCGCCCTGGGGGAGTTCTGTCGTTTACGATTTCGCGAAGGTCCAAGTAGCACAGGCCGACGGAGGTGGGACATGATCGTCTCGCGACGTCCTGCATTACGGTCTCGCCTGCTTCGTTCTGGAACGGGATTGGAAAGTGGTAACGTCCGGGTCCGTTGACCACCAGAAGAAAGGCAGAGATGACCCCAAACACCCTGGGGTCACGTCGGCGCTCGGAGACCTTATTCTTCCGTGCTTGCGTCTATATGCCAATGATGGTAGAGGTGTACATTCGACATGTGCTCGAGGGTTTGGCCAGGGGCACAATGAGGTCTCTTTGTCTTCGATTAAAATTAGATTTGTGTTGCTAGGGGTTTAGTGTGAAGTCGAGCTGTTTGGAAGTAGGACAGCCACTTCTTCAGACATGTCTAGCTCATACTAGCGGACATCAACATATAGTTCATAGCTCGAGACGTGTTCGGTTTATCTTGTTCCCCCGAGACGCGGACGAGGGGATGGCATCGCTATCCTCGTCATCACTGCCCGCACTGATGTGTGAGATGCTGTCTGACAGTCGACCAACATCGGGCTGGTTTCTCTCTCAGTACGCCGGGGATGGGTACCCGAGACTGAAGGGCTTGACCTCGTTCGACGAATAGGCTCATACCGGCAATGATGCTCCCCCTGGTGCACACCTGCCCATAATGGCCTTCGCAGTGGGTGGCTTGTTGTTGGCCGACCACGTCGCAGGACATGGGTCTGGTCCTTCTTTGACAGCTTGGTCGCGCATTGGACATCCTCGATGGGGGCTCGCGCCTGAAGCCGTTCAGCAAGCATCACACGTTGTCGGGGCAGTCGTAATGAAACGTTAGGCCACCGTTGGTAGCCGTGTGGCCAGGATATGCGGTCGCCAAGATATGGTAACCGAAATTACGCACGATTCCATTGAGCGTCAGACTCTGAAGTGTTTGCCATAAAGACACTACCGCTGGTGAATACTATATATAATCGGCCCACGATGATTCTCCCCGGCAGCCACGTGGGTTTGTGGAGGTCTACTGTACAATACCCATGATCTCAAGATTCATATAGATTTCCCGAACCTGCTGTTCATCAACTTGTTAACGGTATGCCATCACACGCCATGTCCATTGACAACCTTTATATCTCCGATACACAAGATGACTCTTCCAACCATCCCAACTGGGCCACCCCAGAAGACTGGGACTATTACCAAGAAACAATAAGGCGCCTGTACCTGGACGAGAAGAGGCCTCTCAAGGATGTCATTGTGATCATGGAATCAGAGTATATATTTCGCGCAACGTAGGTTACCCTATCGGACCTTCCCCGTATCGCTCTCTCAAGAATGTTTTTCGGTCCCGAGATTAGCAGGCTGACAATAACACTTGTGCCACTGTTCAGAGCAAAGATGTACAAGACCAGACTAGCAAAATGGAAGATGTTAAAGAACCGGCCTCGCGGTGCGGGTACTCGTAGGAGTAGTGAATGGGACGCTGTGTTGTCGGCGCAACAGATGTGAGACTGGGAATGGGACTGGGACACGATTCTGAAAACCTGCTACCACCAACCGACCATCACAGAAACCCTCAAAACACCATGACTGGAAAATGAAAATGTGGATGATACGCGGACCGGGCGAATGAATAGGTCTGCCAAAAAGCGAGGAGGGTGCTCCCAGAGCTGAAATTTCCCATTTACCATGGCCTATATTCACCATTGCCTTGCTTTGACGTCTGCTGGGGGCCATTACATATAGATTTCCCCGATCACGGCGGCCCTTAGCTGCTTCACCAATGTAAGTCACAGCAAGCACCAATTGTCGTCATAATCTCCCAATGAAACAGCAGATGATAACGTCTCTACCTCCAGCTCAGCGATCCACTTCCGCAACTGACATCCTGATCTACTCGCAAACGATGGACGAACAGCGGAAGCACGTAAATTTAGTACTAGCAGCCCTCCAAGCCGCCAAGTTACTAGTCAACACCGAGCAAAGCGACTTCCTTACGCAACGAGTTGATTTCCTAGGATTCACCATCACCCCAGGAGAGGTGCGGATCCAAGAGTCAAAGATTTCATCAGTCAGAGACTGGCCCGTACCAAACAGTGTCGCAAACGTACGAGCATTCGTACGGTTTACGAACTACGTTCGACCTCTCATCACGAACTTTGAGAAGCACGCCGGACCCCTGACGGACCTGACGAAGAAGGACCGAGAATTCGAATGGATAGCCAAGGAACAACAGGCTTTCGATCCCATTCGAGAACTTATTCTCAGTGACCCGGTCACGAAACTACCACCCCGAGAAGGAATTTGAAGTCGAGACAGGCGCATCCGACTGCGCACTCGGAGGACAGCTTGGCCAACGCGACGAGAATGGTAAGCTACACCCTGTAGCGTTCTTCTCCAAGAAGCTGCACGGACCAGAGTTGAACTATCAGATCCACGACAAGGAACTGATGGCAGTTATCGAAGCATTCAGGGAATGGAAACCATACCTCAGCGGTACAGAACGACCAGTGAAGGTCTATTCAGACCACAAGAACCTGACACACTTCATGACAACGTAGGAATTGAACAAACGACAGACACGATGGGCGGAGTTCCTACCGGAGTTCATCCAAAGGGTTCCCACTGGATTTTCATATCGGTATCTATTTGGTTGATTACTCGTGACCATTCACGCCGCGAAAACCCCCCCTCGGTGAACCGTGTGGAAAATCAAGCTGCCTCACGTCGCACAACAGTGACGTCAAGTGCGGGGAATACAGTTCAGCACCACCTACTGTCGCTGCCTTGGTAGTCAGCCTCCTTAATTGAAGTCCAGTGAACATACGAAGTTAGACCTCAAGAATCACCTGGTCTTGTAGCATCCCACACACGACGGAGGAATACCAGTTCACGCCGCTTCAATGGACGAGGCAACGGCAGGCTTTCAGAAGTTGAGTCTGGGTAGACGGTACGTTGGGTTTGCGGATGATTCGGTTGACGAACCAATCAAGCCGTACCCGACGGACACTCCTCGCTATCTGTTCCGCGTCTTCTCGGCAAAGTCCGCAGGAGAGAACACAAGTGAGTGGGTGAAGTCAGAGGACGCCAGAGATGGTCAATTGACGGACATCTTTACTCGAGACGATCAGGATAATGTCGCTATAGCGCTGAACGAACATCTGCGATGGATGAGATGCAAGTCTCAAGGAGATCCCTTCATGTCATGGACGACTTCGCTGGCTTTTGCGATTCAATACGCCATCTACAAACAGAAGGAGGAGGGTACGCGCTTGCACGAGATCCATCTTTGCATCATCGACACTACTCAGTACCCAAAGGGAACATTCATGCGGGACCTTGACCTCATAACCGCCTTTCGAGACCGAGACAATGGTCTTGGCAACTTATACACCCTGCGGCATAAGAATCGCACAGACTTTTCAGGGTACTACTACTTTGGCGAGTACCTTTCACAGGGAGAAGTTCACCTTGAAGGTCGTTCTTGCATTGTACCATGTGACAGGGTTATCAACAATGACCTGTTTCAACTGATGCCACGAATCCAAGCCAACTACCTATCCAAGAAATCTGAATGGGCCAATCCGGTAGTGGGACTCCGCGAGCCGTTCTACGCGAATGATCAACCAGGGACCACCGAACCAGGCGATCTTGAGGCAGCAGAGATGATATCCTGCAGATTTGAAGCTCCTTGGCGCCTCCCAATGTTGATCAACCTTCTGGCATTGTGCCCTCGTCGAGCTGATGATCCTGTCATAATCTCTCACGTGTCAAGGATAATTCATAGTAAGTGATTATCATTATGAACTTATACCATTCGCGGTTTCCTAATGGTCAAGCAGATGACAAGACACACCTTGCGTCGCTCAAGGCAACCGTGGTTGCCAACAACAGTATACCTGAGGTTCAGCTGTTTGGCCAAATCATGAGTGCTATCAATGAAAGCGAGGAGGTCAAGAAAATCGAAGACGTCCAGAGGCAGGTCAAGACGCCCGAGGTCGCTACGCAAAGCGTTAATAATAACAGCGCCCTCCAACATGTCAGCCAAGGCCGCCCGGATGTTACTGCCTCCTCCTCCTCCTCCTCCACCGTTGGGACCCTATTCTCCGGTGTCAATAAGTCCACGGTAGGGCAGATCGACGACACTACGATCAAGTTCGATTCCCAGCAGCGGGATGTGCTGAAGGCTATCGAGAGGCGGCTAGATGAAATACTCGTGTCGATCAGGGGTAGTGAGAAACAACTTTACGAGCTGTGCAACAGGCTTCGGACCGTTATGGACAGGCACTCTGTAGACGATGATGAGTTGACCGAAATAATCGGCATCGTCAAGGAAAGGTTTAAGGCGGATATCTTCTAGTTGGAGGAGGCATCTGCACTTGTAAACGCCTCGATTGTGGTGGCCTTGGGAGGTCCGGGCGTGTTTGAAGGGGAGGTTTGACTACCCGTGCCATGTAGGCATCATAGAATGGCATGGGCGAAGGGACGGCGGGTTGGAGGACAGGCCAATATATAAATTGAGGGGCTTTTCTCATAGAGTAGGTCGCTTTTGAAGTCCATTCCATCTCTCAATCTGCTGAGTAGGATGCTTTAACGCAGCAAATCCAACACTGAGATAATTATCGTCTTGACGAGTCAATCATCAGGGCTCATCGTTCTTAACCATCCAAGACTGGTCCTCCCTCGACATGATTGCTCTTTGCGCGGTCTCGCTTTAGCAAGGGCCCCACTGCCCGCCAATCACTCATCGCGGCGATCTGGGTGTGGATCCACCCTCCCCGGATATCGCGCTAAACCAATCGGGTTCCACGAGGATGTGACCGCAGCTGAACAGTGGACACGCCTTCGATATCTCAGGGGCAGCGACCACTCTAGAAGTCGTCTACCCTGGAACATGCGCTCATTGACCGGGATGTTCGACCTTTTCTGGGATGTGGGTGCGAGTAGGTTGACACTTCCGTCAGGGCTTGACCAGCTGCCATTTCATACTGAAATCATACATAATAGGAGGTGCTGCCGTCGCACAGACTCTCGTGGATCTGCTCTCCCGAGTAAGTCCACAAGAGCGACCGACCGACGTTGACGTCCACAGCAGTTGTCCCATACGGTTCATCATAGCTTAAGAAAGGGAATTCGAACAAACGGGATAAGAACGTCTACTTCGTAAAGCATATAAGCATATCAAAAAAGGCCTCAACGGCACCAAAAGTGGCAATATTCTATAGAAAAAGGTATCCGAGCATATAACAAAGAATAGCGCCTTATATAACTTTGGTAGTGCTACTTGCCATAATAAGTAGAAAAGCTTAGACAAAAATAAACGATAAAGCAATATGGTTCTGGTTTTGGTTAATATACGCAGCACTCATGAACAGATAATTTTTTTAAGTGTTTCTGGTACGAAATGAGATCTATGGCTCAACTCGAATGATGGTGAAACCCGGGACGTTATGACATGGATAGACAATAAAAAAAGACCTACGTCTTAGTAGCTCAGCGTCGGTTCTGGCGTGCTTGGGTCACGCCATCGGAGTTCCCATTTGTGTGGAGCTAAGGCCCTTCGCTGAGCAAGAGGCCACGCAGATGACTCGTGCCAGTCAGTTTTATCCATTGAGACCCAGGACCCGATAAGGTGCGGCCTTGCTCTGAGCTCATCTCCACGCATACGTGGGCCTTGTGACTCGCCACCTTGATAGCCTCTACCCGCTGTGTGATGTAGGTAAGAATATACACGACAGTATCCCAAACATCGCCATGCAACTGTTGCTGGCGGGCTGTCTATCTATCGGGGAGGATGGGGGGGCTGGTATTGCCGTCGAGCCAAACACCGATCATATCACGGGCACCACAAGTGCCTCGAACCGTCAAGACTCAATTCACGAAAGGTATGTCGATTAATGAAATGCCTACGTAATACGCGCTGCCGAACCATTCTATGCGAGCAGCCCGAAGATACTGCACCAAAGCCACCAGGCGATAACCCCTTTACCTCTCATCAACTCACTTGATGGCTCGGTTGTGGTCTGAACCCACAATGTTCACTACATAACGGCGGGGGCATGCAGATGGGACAGCCCCCCAGATAAGACAGTTCCCCCACCAAAACACAACATTTGCACCCACACACATCTCTATCAGGATTGAAGCTATAGATATCATAAATATATCGTCTGAATCTTCTTTTCTTGGTGTTTCTTCCAGTGTGAAATTTATTAGGTGTCTTGTAGCGGGATGTCCCGTGGCAGGGGTCAGAAGTTAGCACATCCGGCCCTAATCTGGGGGCTAATGGGACCCGTGCCCCCTATCCCCTCCAACCAGGCAGAAGTTCTGCGGTTCTTTTTTTCCTTTTTCTCTGTAAGCATCATAGGCTTCAGTACGTCAAAATGGCGACTTTATACACTGAAGAAGACCTTGCTGAGGCGATAGCCACCGTCAACGGTGACGATCTGTCCCTCTGGAAGGCTGCCCAGCACTATGGAGTACCAAAAACCACACTTTCTCGCAAAGTTAAAGACTCCACGATGACTACAACTGGCACTCAGCGTGAAGGACATGCTCACGGGCAGAAAATAAGCCCTATTCAAGAAAAGAAGGTGATTTCACGGATTCTGTACCAAGAAAAGGCCGGCCATGCCCCTACTCACGCCAATGTGAGGTACATCATCCAGAAGATCCTATAATCCCAGGGAAAACCGCCTCATCTTGGGGGCTATTACATGCGAAATTCCATCTGCTGGAACCCAGAGATAAAGACCAAAATGGGTAGAAAACTTGACTACAAATGTATCAATGCTGCCACTCCCGATAATATCCATGGCTATCATGACCGCTACACAGAGTTCGACTTTATCAAACCTGAGAACCGCACAAATATCGATAAGTACGGCATCATGCAGGGCCGGCAGTACGTACGTCCAATCCAAGTGTTTTTCAGACGGCTGACAGGGAGGTTATAGGTCTGATAGCCTTGTAATAGGCAGTTTTGGCTCAAAAGGGGCCAACGTCAAGTCCAACGATGACTGCACGTGAACTATCGTGGTAGAATCGATCACCACTACTAGGAAAAAGCTCCGGCCGTTGGTTATCTTCAAGGCGAAGTCGATACAGATACAGTGGTTCAAAGAGCAGCTTATTCTCGAGCATCCCGGGGTGGCAGACTGGATAGTGACTTACTCTGCTAATGGCTGGTCCTTGAACGCGATCGCGCTTGAATGGCTTAAGAAGGTTATTTTTTCCTGATTTTTTAACGTTAACTATATGCTAAACAATCCCCTAGATCTATCTGCCAGATACTGCCGCTGAAGACCCGGATGAGTTCCGCCTGTTGGTGCTCGACGGCCATGACAGCCACTGCTCAGATGATTTTATGTATCTGTTCTATATACACAACGTCTATCTGAGCTTTTTTCCTGCCCATACGGTAAATTATATCCTCAATTAGTAGTTATTCCGCTAATAGGGGTAGTCTCATATCTTCCAGTCCCTGGATCTGACCGTTTTCTCTGTGGTGAAGGCCACCTATTGCCGCCTTATCAACCAGCTCGGTCAGTTGAACGATTCGGCCCCTATTGGCAAGATTAAGTTCCTTTCTTGCCTGGCGAAAGCCCGTGACAAAGCTACTCCTGCCATCGTGCGTTTGAGATGACGTGCTGCTGGCCTTTGGCCCGTAAATAGGAACAAGACACTGGTAAACGAGCATGTGATAAAGGCAGCAGAGATACAAGCAACAGCTGCTGCTATAATGAACCCTGAAACCACTCCTGATGCCCTGGAAGCCCCTACATCAGGGCAGGATATAGCCCTGATATTGTCAACAGTTGTGGAGACCCCTGAGCAACGAGCAGCAGTGCGGGCGGTCGCAAAGTCATATGATGAGATAGTGGTTGAGTTAGGGTTAGGGTTAGGAACGAGCGCGAAGCGCGAGTGAGCAGCGTTGAATTCTGAGAGCAAAGGAGTCCAACTACCGTCGTGACAGTAGTTTCGCCTATGGCTCTTCAGGGACTCTGTATAGCGAAATTCTTTTGATATATATTATCAGAAGAAAGGTATATACATGGAGATAAGAGATATCGCGCTTCGGCTTTTAGAACTTGATTTCTAATACCGCCTTGAATGACTCAGCTCAGATAGTCTAATACCCCGCTGCTTACCAACCCGGAGGGACAACCCCCCGGATTACCAAGCATCGGGCTACTCAACTCCCCAAATCTGAGAGTCAAAGCTGCATATTCTCCTCAAGTTCGCGGCATAGCAGAGGCAAGAGAGCTTGATAATCCATTCTCATGTTTGTGTATACACAAGATATTCCTAGTTTCACAAGGTATGTCATGGATACACCATGACACATGACTTGTGCTAGTATGTCTCTTTCTTTGTGCTTGTCTTTCTACACCCTATGGTTAGGGTTAGGGTTAGGGTTAGGGTTAGGGTTAGGGTTAGGGTTAGGGTTAGGGTTAGGGTTAGGGTTAGGGTTAGGGTTAGGGTTAGGGTTAGGGTTAGGGTTAGGGTTAGGGTTAGGGTTAGGGTTAGGGTTAGGGTTAGGGTTAGGGTTAGGGTTAGGGTTAGGGTTAGGGTTAGGGTTAGGGTTAGGGTTAGGGTTAGGGTTAGG